GTTGGGGCAAAGAAAATGTGTTTCCTAATGAGTAAATCTTGCACAATTCATGGTTAATTTATCAGTAGTATCAATTGTACTTTTTTCAGCTCGTCGCGAACGTTTCTTCTCAAAGCTCTGACGGTTATGCAGCGTTCGATGTTATTTTACCAGTGCTAATGAACGTCACAAGGCTGGGCGGGTCGAAGGTGCCCGTTTATGTTTCGGCAGGTTACGGCATTGAGTTGGATCTGGCGACGAAGTTGGTAATGTCGACAGCTAGAAATCGGATCTGTGAACCTATTCGAAGTGTGAGTGCCGTGATTTGACCTTAGCAGTTCTGTAATCGGGATGGTTTTATGTGCACATCCAGCAGTTACAATTTTCAGGCCGACCTTCACTCGAGAGAGAAGGTGCGGGAGTATTTTGACAGTTGAACATGAGCTGTGATACTGTAGTAACACCAATGGCTTATGTTGAAGGCCGCTAGTGTTACATTTTCTTTATGGGTCCTTTTTCTGTCCTCTTTTATTGTGATTACGTTGTGCAATAAAGATGTAAAGAGTGTAGAGTCTCTCAATTGCGTGTGCGGCCCTACTTTTGGTCCAGAAAGGCACCGCAGGAGGGCTGATCTTGCAATTAGCACGAATCATCTTTGATCGATCTTTCCAAGATGAGCCAATTGGGCTGCAGTCCTTTTGGTTCAAATTGGCCTGCGCTATTGGTCAGATGAAATGCTTGATTCCTTTAAGTGCTCCAAGGCTTCTGAAGCGCTTTTGAAGGAATACGCATTAGAAAAACCTTGGTCAGAAGAATATTCCTGCTGGGATTCATTATTTTTTGGATGTAGCCAGAAATACCTAGGTAAAATACACCAGGTAACGAATCGGTTTATGTTTTACCGGATAAAGAAGCTGTGCTAAAGACGTTAATCATTCCAAAATGGAGAGGTTACCCCGTAAAGAAACTAATTTTAGTTTTCTTTGGGATTAGTTTGCGTGAAAGATTCTTTTCAGGTACTATTTCACGATGAAAGGTGGAATTGCAAAACAATGCCCAAGACAGGAATCGAACCTGTGTCGCCACGGCCACAACGTGGAGTACTAACCACTATACTACTTGGGCCGAGAGAATGGCGCCGAGCAGGCGCTGAAATCCTGGCACAGCATAAGTGAAAGTGTTCGCCCTGCATTATGCCATTATTTCACCCCTTTAAAGGCAAAAGTCGGGCTCAATAAGGGGGTATTATGGCGATTGAAACTGAGTATAGAGATGCGAAGTGGAACGACAGTGGAGAAAAAACTGAGAAAAACCGTCGACAAGGCCGTTAACAAAACCCTCTTTCCCACTAGCAGTGAAGGAGGCTGGCTTGGGGAAGAGGCACGTACAAACAAGTTTTCTGGAGATGTCAGTCGTTCTATCGGTTGATACGGCAATCAACCTAGCTGATTTCACACGTTATGCCAGCACGTTATGCCAGCCACGCACCACCGGAGGGGGCCGCATAAAAGGCTGCATTTTGCGATTTTAATGTCTTCAAAACTTAAATTGGCAAAGCTTCTCCATCGTATGGCGAAAGAGCAAGAAAGCATTCAAAGATTCGCAATATTATGTACGAATGACGTCAAATGAGAACTTCAAGTTCTCAATGATCAGCACTTTTGGGATGCGCCACGCACTTGTCTTCAACACACCCATCCGGCGCAATTAAATTTGAACGGTGCATCACGGATCAAAACCACCATCGTGCAGCGCAATAGCTGATGAATGTTACTTTGTTACTCCCCCAATTTAATAGCAATCAATAAGCCTCGAGTTGCTGATTAGTCCAGATGTCCTGGTGAGATCCGATCATAAGAACTGTCCTGCGATGCGGCGCTTCTAGCCACTGCTTCACCTTCTATCATTCCTCTAAATGCGCACAACTAAGCGAATTCCCTTCTTGGCCAATTTGGAGCCTATCAATGACCAAGAGCGACCAATAAGAAAGGAATCATTTCAGGGTTTCATAGACGAGCGTGCAAGTTGTAGTGGCTCCCCTTGCTCCAGCTCCCAGCCTGCCATCTCAATGCCAGGGAATGCATCGTCGTCAGCACGAGGGATGAAGAGTAGGAGGGGAGAGGGAGAGGGTGGAGGCGAACACTCACGGCCAAAACCACGGTAAACCTTCCATTTTCATGATCGCTGAGTCCAAAAATGATAAACCCTCCCCGGAGCCTTCTCCTCCCCCCCTCCCCGCTCCTGAGAAAAAAATTAGACTCCTGTCTGCGATGCGATATCTTTTGAGTGCGTATTTCTATTATGTATGATTATCATATAGACTGATAACCTATGAGAGCATTCCAACCGTGCTCGGTGCTACCCATTCAGTAAGCATATCTCCACGAGGTGGCTTATGGATAGTCGTCCGAGCTGCCGTCACGGTATCCGCTATAATGACCAGCCTTTCACCTATTTCGAGATTGGACTAGTAGTCATAACAGGTAAAACATCTTCTAGGGGGCTATCGCAGAACAAGGGGGCAACCTATAGGACTAAGTCTAGAAGGAGGCACTAGCTCCGAAAAAGACGAGAATTTTCACGCACCCTGGAGTCCCTCCTCCCAGCCTACGGCTTGGTCCCGTTCTCAACGGAAGGGAGTGTTTTGCACGGTGTCATATACATTGCTACAAAAATGCCCCCTTATCTTGCGATAGCGGCTCTAGAGGGTTCCTAAGAGCAGTTAGCGCACATTTTGGCATACAAACAATGCGCGCACGCCTTTTCTTCTGTAAATTTTGATGGTTCCAGTGATCGACATCGTCGTGTTGGTTTATTTTGTACTGAAATTCAAGTATATCAAGGGTAAGTATGAAACGTTGTTGAAGAAGACCGACGACGAATTGGCGGAACTGAAAAAATTACAAGACACCAGCTCGATGGTAAGCTTCCTACAACTTTTCGTCTCCTCCACCAGCGCTTGTGGAAACTACGTGTGCAGAAATGATAGATATTGATTAAGCGACATACAATTCCGTAGGAATCCCTAGGAAGCATAGGGTGCATCTGAACATGCAACTAACTCTCCCCGTGAGACACGCGTATCATTGCAGTTAGTGTTGTTCTTGCCTTGAGGCCAGTACCAGACTTTGCGAATCCAGCGAATCGCGGGGTACGAGCGGTGCGCCAGCGGTTCCAGAGGGTGTAAGAAAGGCAAAGGTCCTCTCGTTCGCACGTTGACTTTCGCTACTTTTCCAAGTCACGAGAAGGATGTGAGCAGTGGGAAAATGGTAAGGAACGCAAAACGTGCACTCCTGCCACATTCCTGCGCTCTTAAATCGCGTACGCATCACTTGAACCGCTGGCGCATAGTACGTAGGTCCGCGATTCGCTGATTCGCCAAATCGAACACTGGCCTACCGCCTTTATCAGCGTAATTTTCTTCCTGTTCAAACTCTCAGTCCAGTAGTAACCGTAGCGCATGGCAATAGCAGACGAAGAACGAATAGGTTCGAACACGTAATTGCTTTGGGAAATGGGGGAAATCGACTGGGGGCGGGGGGGGGGGTGTGGGAAATTCGAATAAAAAGACGTCCGCTCCTGGTAAAGTCGCATATTCATTCGGGCATACAGACGCTCCAATCTCCTTTCAGACGCGAGACGTACATTACTTAAAGGCATGCCCCAGGATCACATTGGTGTGGCTCTTGTACACGAATGCGAATGTATTGGTGGAAGTGGGCCGGCAGTAAAGAAAAAAGGAAAAGAATCCGTCAAAAACGCTTAGGTTAAGGGCTCACTCACCTTCCTGATCGGCTGTGCTAAGGGAATGAGAGACTAAGCGCGGGAGGAGAGTATGAGGCGAGAGAGCACTACAGATGAGAGAGCGCCAGACAACAGCCTGATAAGAAAAAAAAGTCTGCAGCTTGGGCAGCTTACTTTGCAAGGCCCAAGCGCTCTTATCGGTCGGTTTCCGTGCACGAAGGACGCCACATCTGTGATTGTCCTCTAGGGTTCTATACTACAGACCGAAGAGAAGCGTTCACACGAACTCTGCCTGGGTTGTGCCTTTAAAGGCCTTACGGTCCCGCTGGCTGAGAGGCGGGAAACGACCTCTAAACACGTCAATATACGTGAGCGCATCGTCATTGTGGAGACTTACGTAAGGGGGGATCCAAACGACCGCTGAAGCCTCCGTTGACGGCAGTGATATGGTCGTATCAGTTTCCACACGAATAGATGGTTGTTGCAGGCTATTCGAACAGGGGGAATCATTTAGCTGAACAGACGCGAGCCGCTAATCGGCACATAACTGGGCGTCCGCTACCATTAAGCTCAGGATGAGCAGAAGCTTCGGTGAAATGAAATTGGCTTAGGTGCCTTGGAGCAGGGCAAAAAATCGCTCGAGGGTTTCCCAACGGCGCGTCGAGAATTCGTGACCGCTCAGTCACTCTCGTCCCGGGTACCCCCCCCCAGGAGGCCCGTCGCGCGGGCGGCAAGAAGGCAGAGTCGTCGGACGAGTTGCAGCGCGTGATGTGCGATGTAGGACGTGCAATGGGACACTCTATTTAACTTGACGCGAAATCCCTATAGTGCGCGCGCAACTCGTCCGCTGACTTGCCTTCTTGCCGCGCGACGGGCCTCCTGGGGGGTACCCCACTCTCCCGCGCGAATATTCACTCTCGCCACCCGCGAGCCGTCTGTGCTCTCCGCGCGTACATTCACTCTCGACCTGTAGAGAGCCGTGGTCGAGGAATTCCTCGACCGTGATTCACCCTACCTTGGAGTCTCCTTCCCTTTCTAAGGCTCAGTTCCGTTTTTAACAACAAAGACATCTTTTACGCTGTTTCAAATGCATCGCCACCCGATGCCCCCGTATATTGCGATAGCGTCCAGAAGCGACTTGCTACTTTTCGCAGCGTGAAGCTTTCTTCGCTGCGGGAGCCCCATGATGACTCATGACCAAGGGGACCTGGGGTTCCTGCAGCGCAAAACGCTTCGCGCTGCGGAAAGCGGAACAGTCCCGTTCTGTCCTAGTGACCCACACCCCTTAGACGTGGTCCCATCCGCGTATCGATCGGTTGCTGCGGCGCAACCGCACGCGCCCAGATCAGCTTTTTGAGGTTCTCCGTGTTCTGAACTCGTTCATGAACACATATAGCAGGTATATTTTCAGCAAGCCATTGTACCGTTGCTTTATCTGCGAAAATGCAAACGATCGGGTGATGACACGACGAACGAGAGCTACGATGCCAACACCACGCCCAAAACACCTGCCGATACTGATGCTCGTGCTAATGCCAATGTTGAGCGTACGCAGACGATTGTTTCAAGTACACAAGATGATGAAGGAAGAGATCGCAAGGAATAGAAGGCAGTAGACCCGGGAACATCTGTTGAAATTCTGACATGCTTATTATTTACTTCATCACTTTACCTTCAGTGATCACAAAAAAAGATTTAATCCTTGAGAAATAGAAAATTTGATTGTTCTTGAAGACGTCATAAAGTCTTTGACAGATATGGAGTGCACTTATGAAGAGAAACATTCGAAAACCCCACGTGGCACAAATGTGAGACCTGCGACAAACGCGCGTACCGCACCGTCCCGCGGATCGCGGTAGCCGCTCGCGTCGCAACGCAAGCGAATTGTTGGCATTTCCACCCCACCATGCGAATGTTTTGCAGTGCTGCGCCAGTGCCGCCGCCTTGATCGATCGATCTCATGGCAGTAATGGCCGAAGGCTTGCATTGCAAGGCGGCGGCGTACTTCGAAAGGGTCAAGCAGAGGGTACCTCTGTCACAGTTTGACGTCTGCCTGAATACATAGCAGATCCACGTAGGGTTCCTTGGGTTCAGGGGGGGGCACGCGATGGCGTGCCGTCTGCTGTTCGTCTGCTCCTCCAGGATACAGGGGCAGTTACTCTTTCGCCATCGCGTGGCAGTTTCGAAATACGCGCCATCGGGGACTAAGCCTTGGAGGAGCAGACGCAGGGAGCGCCGCGCCATCGCGTCCCCCCGAACCCGATTTCTTAGTTTCAGAAGGTTAGTTTCACCGGGTTCTCAGAGGGGGAGCCACTCTCGAAAACGGAGAATGGAAAGGATCACTTGGCTTTTTTATTGCTTATTTTGCTAGCCATTGCCGAATACAGTAGAAATGATACGCAACGAAAACAAAGTTTCAACAGCTGACAACAACGCGCGTTTTGGTTTTTCTGGCCGCGTGGCACAGACGCGACTTTGTTCCCGCTGCGACCATGGGACGCATGCGCTCCGCACTGTCTCACAACTCTCGTTTTTCTTCGGGCTCGGAACTGAGAAAGATATGTAGCACAGTTGCTCGATTCTAATGGAAGCGCATAGAAAAGTGAGCCATCGCGGAACAATACCTCATATGAGACGGAAAAGGGTTCAAGCTGATAATAATAGGAAGTTTCTGGAAAGGGCAAGAAAAGGCGAAGGTACAGTGAAGGGTCAAAAGGTGCGAATGAAGGCGGTGGATGGTCTAGTGCACAGTGAGAAATCGCAAGTGGAAGAGGAAGAAAGCGGAAAAAATGAAGCTTCGACGTGGTCCAACCGTGCCTTGCCCAAACCGAGTCTAATATGGCCAAAATTGATCTAGAGGGAATATACAGAACAAAGAAAATGTACCAGTTTTGGCGCTGGCGTTGTTGGGGGGGGGGGACCAGTCGCCACCGCGTCACCTCTCTCCCGCCCCCTCCCCTGAATTGGCTATTTTCTCCTGGGTCAAATTCGTTACGAAGGTCGCGAGCATGACGGGTGCCGCGCCGGGGACTCCCACCCCCCTAACTACTAAGAGACCAAGTGGGGGGGGGGGTGTTGGGCTTCTGCTTACAATCATGGGCACCAGTGTGAGGCTGGCTGAGCTAGTCTGGTATAATCCATAACCAAATCAGCTCGAGACCGGCGCCAAGTGGCGTCAGCGTCAAAAACGAATGTCATGACCATGTCTGGGCAGTGAATTACCTCTATAATTGAATTTCCAGAAGTGAAAAAACTCCAGACTTTTTGAGCTTGCACTGTTGCGCGCGTCTGACGATGAGTTTATGACAGCGCAAACGTGCCGCGTGCGGTTGCGTTGCGTCCTCAGAACTCGAGTTTAGCTCCAAACGCATAACAGTCCCTGATGTAGTTCGCTGCAGAGAGTATACGCTCATATTCCCTTGAATTAGATCGCCAAAAGCTGTCATCTAGACGACACCGCCTGCATTAATC